TTATGTGACCAACTAGCATCAAGAGATGCCCACATCTTTCTCCCTGACACATTTTGAAGCTGAGATACTGAAAAGCTTCTCAAAGCAAATCTAGGCTGCACTTCTTGAACACAATCGTTCTTCTCACACAATCGTTGCTGAAAGATTTGTTGAGTATAGAAACAACAGTAGCTGTTGTTTTCCATTGTGGGCAGTCTTTTTAATCATGGCATACAGATGGGGAAAATTAACATTTATAGCCAAAAGTCTCAAGTGAAGACAACAGTCACTCCAGTCCTCTGCGCTGGCCCTGTCAGATCCCCAAATCCCCATACCAGGCCTTCTACTGCATTTTCAGAAAAATCCTGATGCTCTAGATGGCTGTGCTAATCTTGATACTTCTTTAAACAGCAGAGCTAAAGCCCAAAAGTCATATGGGCAGCAACACCCACCCAGGACAGGCAGAGGAAAGAACCATTTAATTTAGGTATATGAAATGACAGCACTGTCAGTTATACAAAGGTAACTTTGCACAATGTACAAGTTAAGCTTAGGCTTCTCCCATCCCTCCATCCCCTCTTCTTCACTTTTTAAGACTAAGTCTTACATATTACATGGGAGAAAGAAAAATGCCAGTCACCAATTGTGGGGCAGAAATACATTGCAATGCCAATGCAGAGCAACATTTTCTCCAGGATTTTTCCACCAGAGCATATGTCTCAATCGCAAGAGAAACACCATTCCCTCCTTTTCCTGCCTTTCTGCTGTAAATTATTTGGAGACCAACTGTAAAATGCACAACCACACTGCATCAGAATAAAATAGGAGACTTTCCAAATCTTCTGGTTTTCAGTCTGGCTTGATTTATCAGGTATGTCTCTACCTGATGGTAGATAGATGACATATATGCCAGGATATGCATTGGTCATAATTTTTTTTTTCAGAAACATTACTCTGAGCAAATGCAATTCTATCTGTTCTAGTCACAGTTCACACTACATATACGTGCTGTCTGACTCACACAAACAGGTTTAAGTATTTCAGACTGCAAACTGAAAATTAACTAATTACAACTAATCTGCTCTACCACCTGAGAATTCACTGTTTTACTAACATTCCAGCAAATTCTAAATGAAAATGAGCGCAGACATTTATGCTTCTGTACATGAAATTTATCATGTACTTACATATTGCAGATCACTGATGAACCTGGAAAGAATAGATACAGATATCTGGCATTAGATATCCAAATTCATTAATAGGAGGGCAGCTGCTACTCTTCCTTTGACGGTTCCAGTTTGGAAACCACAAACGTGTGACTAAAAGGTGTTCAAATACATGTACTTGATTTTGGTAAATCGACTCCTATAAGAGCATCACCCACTTTGTATCCTAAATTCCAGTAATGGTGAGGCAATGCAGATAGCATCTGGATAACCACTTAAGCAAACAATAGAAAATAAGAAAGCAGTGAGATTTCACTACTCTGTAGCAAAAAAATTATTTGAACAGCTTTTAAAAATACAATAATATTTTTACTAATTTCTTCCAAAAGCAGAGGGAAGTGTTTTCCCCAATTTTATTTAAATAAAACATTCAGAGTGAAACGGAAGGGGACACTGGATAGAAGCTGAAACAGGTAATCTACCTGTAATGGTTCCTCTCTGAGGTGCTTTGGAGATGTGTACACCCATGCAACTGATACGTAGCTGCAAGCCTTGCTGGCTGGAGAGTGTTCCATCCTGGCAGCACTTACAGCAGCCCATGGCTGCATGGACACCACATGCACTGCACACCACTATAAAGGAGGCCAAAAGCCTCTTAACCAAAGGATCTGAAATTTAGCTAGGACCAAGGAAGAGGGCAGAAAGGATGGCAGTGAAAATAAACGCAAGACCTTCCATCTCAGAGAAGGACAAGAAGTAGGCAATCCACGTTACTTCCTTGTAACGTCAAACATTTCTTTACTTATCCTGTCTGCCACAAAAACTGCCTGCAGAAAAGTCCTCAGAACCCCCAATGAAACAAGCTCTCCCAAAGACAGCATCACCCTTTGCAGCCACGGTGGAAGCACAGCACTTACTCACAGCACAAGAGGAACCCAAGCAGAAGCTCCAGAGGCCTCCATCCTGGGTAATTCATGAGGAGTCATCACCAGCATTACTTGGCCTCTAACAGAACGAGCCCCAGTTGAAGGGGGAGGGGATTTATTTCGCCTTTTTGTTTTACTAAAAACATCTTAGTTTTTGTTCCAATATCCATAGTGGGGAAAAGCAAGGCAGCTGTAAGCCCCTCGAGGTGCTGATGGGCAAGGGCAGAGCTGCCGAGGCAGCCTTGCAGGACTCTGCTCCCTTCTGCTGGAACGGGCTCTGTGCCAGAGTTCAGAAGCTTTGAGAACCTGACCTCACCATGAATAGCTGTGCTTCTCTGCCCTGCCCTCCTGGACCATGCCACCAGACTGGTAAGGTTTGTTTACTACCTGTTCTTCAGGATACACCAAGCACCCTCTGCAGCATCAGCCTCTCATTATCCTCCAGCACCTGAGGAGTCAGCTGGGGCAAATGTAGCCACAGAACAAGCTGGCCATCCCTGCTTTAGGCTATATTGTGAAACAGAACAAGCGCTCTGCTCTGTAGGCTACAGAGGACACATCATTTGGGGAAACAGCATTCCAGAATAAGAATTAAATGTATTCTGCCATGGGAGAAGAACAGGAAGAGATTGCACCGCTGGAGGAAGGAGACAAGACTTTAATCTCACTATCTAATATGAAATCAGTAAACTAGAGGACAGAAGTCTCCCAACGACACTGGGTCGAGATCTCTAATTAGTTCATGAAGCATTTTACTGAAAGTATAATTTTATATGTGTAGCAAAGCAAAAGGTACTGATTAATTGCAACTCATTAGGTGTAAGTTGTTTAGTAATTAGGAAAAATTAATGCAGGCATGGCAAGGCTGGTGCAGACAAGAATTCCACCTGACTGGTGCATTCCCAATAGCAGCCAGTCTGCTCAACCAGCAGAGGAGTAACTTGAAATTCAGTCCTGACCCATGGGGACAAACAGTCAGACCACACATTCCAACTTTTCCAAAATAAATCTTATAAAACAAAGATAATGAATGCCTTTGCTGCAAATGACCGGGTTAGACAGTTAGTGGCTGTCTCCACCCATGAGCTATTTAAAACTTCATGTTCCATGTATAAAAAGTATTGCTTACCCTATCTAGAGTACTTGTGGATGTATACATCACCTGTGTTCATGTTATCATGTTTTAGAGTACCGCTAATACTTATGCAGAAGTCAGGTAAGTCATGCTTAAATTGTACACTTCTTAAGGAATTGGAAACAAACAAATATCCCAAGTAAGATATTACCAACAAAATTTTAAAAGGTAATTGTATAGCAAATGGTTTTCTACAAAAGCAGACACCAAATTCTGGGCAAGTCTGGGTCTGGAATTTGCAGCTTATTTATGACTTAACTATTAATAGCTAACACAAGTGTAAAAGTCACATAAGAAACACAGTTTCCTTCCCACAATGCCACTGGTGAAGTTGCCTACAAAAAGAAAACTAATAAAGTCTGAAAAATTCACACAAGTAAATTCTTTTCTTTGTACTGAATGGACACACTGTACTCCCACTCCTTCACAAAGGAAGTTAAGAGCTTCTTTATACTTCAAGCCTACTCTGTTTTTCTCAACAAAATTCAAATGTAAGGGTCGTGTGAATTATTAACAGATGACAACAGAGACCTAGCCAGGTATTTCAAACACTTCTATCTCTTCCTCCTACGTGAATTCCTCAATAGCGCATGCAAAGTAAGTCTTCTTACTACTTCCATCCTTTAAATCCATAATTAGAGCCACTTAATTAACTTGATGAGAAGTAAAGGCTTTTCTACATTCCCTCCTTCTCTCCTTTCTTTCCCTGGGAGAGCATCTGACCCCACTGCCAGTGACAGGGGACTTCACACCTTGTTCTGAAGGGCAGTTAGTGAATCAAGGGAGAGCCTTTTCCCCTCTTAATACCTTTTCAGTAGCACAAGCTCATGCGGAACACCATGCAATCCAGTGGAAACAGAGATACTATTTACTTCTGAACTGGAATAAACATACAATCAGGAAACCTGAAAACAGACTAAAGCTTTTGTCATGTCAAAATGTTAACCATCATCTCATGTTAAAGGCAAGTCCTGTTTATTATAAACACTTTGATCAAGCCCTCCTCCCCCATCCCTCCAACCCCGCAAACCCCACCAACAAAGAGGTGAACGGAAGGACACCACATGAATCCAGCACCACTGCTTGACAGCATGCTTGGTATTTACAAACTTAACACTGCTTCAGTCCATTCGCATCATTTAACTCAAATAAATTCTGAACTTGTCAAATAATCTCTGCAAATCCAATGCAAGAAATAAAAATTAAATCATGTAAGTTAGCATCAGTGCAACTGAAAGATAATATTTGACAACATAGGAAAACCTACTGAAATTAGAACTACAGTAGTAAGCTTTAAAAATTGCAAACTTTTTGCCAACTTTGAAAAATAATCCAGATGATCCTAAATGAGCACATACTTTTCTATTTACTTCAAAATTTAAATCCATAAACTTTCATCAATTAAAAGGACCATTTCAAAAGGTATGGTGAAGCACAGCATCTGACATAACAAAAAGGGGGGGGGGGTCAAGTTTCCCCCCGTGGTGCAGATAGCTCCCAGTGATGCCACAGGGAATTACTTGCAAAAACATAAACAAGAATAGCCTCTTTGGATTGGATTTGACTCCACTTCACACATACACTGTTTATTACAACTGCTATAAAAATGGACAAAAGCAGCACATACATCAGCAGCAGCTCCTGCTTAAAAACAATAAGCACAGCACATTCCCCCCTCAGCCAGCTCCCCGCTGGAAGTATTCCAGACTAAGCCACAAAAACTTAACAGTGAGCTTTTGAATGACAGGACATCATCATGTGCTCCATAATCTACAGAATCAGTCAAGTACTTACAAGGTTTCTTAAACAAATTGATCATGCCTACAATTTCAGACGAAGTCAGAGAAACTCCAGACTTGATCTTCTCTGAGGAAGAAACAAAAGCCATGAAATCAACAAAGAGAAGGGTTTGTTTGGCTTTTTTTGTTGTTGTTTTTAAGACAGCTCTGAAGGACATACTGTAATGTGGTAGGAGGCTTGTACGAACAGCCTTACAAATCAAGCTGAGCATGTATTTCAGCACTCTGTTTTTATTTAGCACTCTCACTGTGGAAAATGCTGAGGGAGGTTTTAAATAGCAAGAGCCAAGGTGATTTCAGATTGATAGCTAAGACCTCCTGACTGATCTTTCATGCGATATTCATTTGGTACATTAGTTTATATAACCGCTTTTTGCTCAGTCTTCCCCAGCTACAAAGCCAAAAATAGCTTACCTTTTCCACAAGGGCAGTAACGTACACCTGGAACTCTTTATAGGTGCTATGAATAACAGCAGCTGGTTTTAAGTCAGAAAAATCCTGTCATTATATAATCATCCATGTTTTCACCTTTACAAGAACAATATTAATGTCAATAACTACCATGAAATCTGGAGGCTGCATTTTCCAAGAAAAATTGTGCCAGACACTGGTATTTTCTGAAGCATCCTATAGTACCATGAAATGGAAAAAAGCATTAAGGAGACTATATTATTGTCATAAAAGAAGCAACAATGATGCAAATCCCTTTTAGAAAGCAATAAAGTTTTGAATATAAAACCTAGAAAAAGATTTCATTATGCAGTTCAATACAGGCTGAACCAAAGCCTACTGCAGTACTTCTCTGTACTCTGGATAAAACTTCCCGTGGCTCCAGCAGCTCCTTTTGCAGAGGTGTCAGTCTTCCATAAACCGATCTTTGCAACCAAGATTTAAGGGAGAATATACCCAGGAAAGCTAGGCTCCCAGATCTGTAGTTTGGCATACAAATGGGTGGTCTAATTTTCAAGTCTCCTGGGAACCTGGTAGTTTATAGTGCAGTAAAATCCTCTACAGGAAATTCATGTTTCAATACTGTCTTTTCAATTCTTGCATGGTCTTTGTTCAAAATCACGTTTTACAGGTTTTACCGAAAGATCAGCAAGAACTGGCTAAGCTCAGGCCTTCACATTCCAAAGGTGTTTAGACCAAAAAGTGCTTCCCATAAAGCTCAAGATCTACAGAAAGGCTGTACTTTATAATGTGAAACCAAAGTTTACAGTTATCATCTGGTTTAAACAGAGGTCCTTAGCACTTGCATATCAATCACCGAGACTTCTGAAGTCAGTAAGATAAAGCCTTTATCAGAGGAAAATTTTAATTAATCTATTGTACACAGTGCATTCAACAATATCAGATTCCTTAAATCTCCCTGTCAAGTCAATTAAAAACACATTTTATTTGGAGAAACATTGAAGAGTCCCAGTTTTTCAATTCTGCTTAGCAGCCTCATTTTGATAAGCACTAGAAATACAGACATACAGGATAATTCCCCCAAAACATAGGCAAATGGGATCAAACTGAAAATGAGAGAAGATAAAATAAAAAGCTTGAGAGTAATATCCTCCTGTCGCTCTCTCCTCTGAGGTATCTCACACTGATTTTTTTGTTAGATATATCAAGACGTATGTGTAATTATTACTTTAGCAACTTCTTTCTTTAGGGACACATTTTATTTCAGTAATGAAACATTCTCAGGAGCCAAGAGAATGACTTTCACCCAATTTCATTTTTAATTAAAAAGAGATTAAAAAAAAAAAAAAAAAAAAGAAGAATAGAATGATGAAACTACTCTGGTCTGACAAAATGCATGGCTTTTTGACCCATCTAAAAGGGCTGCTTCCTCCACTCCAGTAGCTGACAGACCAAGATTCCCTGCAGCAAATAAATCACTTCACACAGCAACCTCAAGGCTTCCTCCCACAGCACTATACTAGATCTAGCACCCCCCATAAGAGCAAGCAAGCCAGGATTAATTCAAACCATGAGAACTTGCGATAGGGCTCAGGACCATCAGAGAGGTTGCACAGATACCCAAGCAAATACTCTGTGGATCACAGCTGTGGTCACTCCCCTGGGCACATTCTGCAGCTATTCAAGTCCTTTTCAGTTTTATCACATCTAACCCCACAACTGAGATCCACCTTAGAGACCAGTAGATGAACATTACACTACTGAAAAGCAGAGGTGTCAAGAGGTACCTCTTAAAGGGAGTACCTAATCTAGCATAAAAGTTGGAGATGCGTGAATGACCATGAAACAATCTCCTAGCTGAGGACACAGCACTGTTTAATAATCACACAAGGTTATCAAAGGACTTTTTGTAACAGCAGCTGAGGAGCAGCATCACTCAGACAAGAGGCATGAAGACAAGTGGTGGACAATCCAGCAAAGAAGAGGTAGAAACCACTCTCCCTATAACTTCCTAATATCAGCTTTTTCTCAGTCACATCCAAACTGCCTGCCACCAGTGCCACAGCCTTTCTCTTTTTAAGCAGGGATGAAAATTGAAACACAAGCTTTTTTTACACATCAAAACATTAAATGAAAGACAAGTGAAAGGTGAAGTGACAGAATTAAACTTGGTGCAGTCAAAATTTAAAGACAAAAATACAGTGATTTTTTCAATTGACTTACATGAAAGTAGGTTTTGATAGTTGAAGAGTGTAATGCAGTAGACATTTAAAAGGTCCTAGTTATTCCCCAAACAACTCCAGTTCATGCAAAATTTAAAAAAAAAAATAGGCAGATGGGGTGTTTCGCTTTTACATTTTCTTCTGCAGAGAGTGATTAAATAATTCACATCACTGAACTGGCAGTGATGCCATCCCCTGATTCCAAACTGAAATTTTTGCCTCCGCTTGCCAGTTTAGCTGACTTCATATTTCATCTGGACCTGCTCTGGATGCAACAGGAAATTGAGACAGTGGGATTGCTAAAACCTTATCATATATAGTTGTAGATACTGTAGATTATTAATGCAACCATGGATTTGACGTAGGCACTAGTTTTTTAATGCAGAAAACAGGCTTTGTCAGAAAACTTACCTGATGGTTAAAAAGCCCACAGGTTACCAATTTACTCAAGTGCTCCAAGTTACATGCAGCCAGTGGAGAAATCTATTAAGAGAGTGGCCAACAATGAATCAGGCAAAACTCACTTCACTGGAAGCCAGAAAGTTACTGAAGGGTGGTTAATGGTACAAAAGATGTGATGCATTATTCAGACAAAACACATCCCACAGAAACTACTCAGGAGGAAATAAAGAGAGCTCTCCAGGAATGTAGTTGGACTCTTGTCTCTCATTTGTCCCTTAAATTCTGGAGGTCCAAATGGAAATACTCCCAAGTTAGCATAAGAAATTTGACAATATATGGCATTTGCAATGGTATATACAGTCATCCACCTCTAATCGGCTTCTTCAAACAAACTCTACTTGGTAATGACCAGGAAGGCTGCCTGGTGCCCACTGAGTGAACTTTGAGAAATAATTTTTTTGTTTTCTTGTGAGTGGACAGGTGCCCCATTTCCAGATAAACAGTCCCAACAGCACAGTCCTCAGCAGCAGCAAAACCACCAAGGGTCGAAGGAAGCAGCATCTCCCCAGGGAGATGCACCTCTGTCCCAGAGTAAGCACTGATTGCAGAGTGCCTACCACCGCTCCCCACAATGTGCTCTTCTGAAGGCAGATCGGCAATGCCAATTTACCAGACTTTTCAGCACAACACCTCTCTAACACCCTGACTTTGCGAAAGCAAGACAAAATGATATTTTTTTAACATCTTTACCAGAACTCCTGGTTGGAAAGAAGCATCTCTTGTATTAATCAACACCCTTTGAACCAACATAAAACCTGGCAAGTGTTGCTTCTTATCTTACTAAGCCACAAACCTTGTTGAATCTTGCTCCATTATTATCTTATCTATGAGCAGCTAAATTTCTACCAGGTTGGCTCAACTAACCAACTTATGTTGCTGTGATTTTGACATTTCAGAATAGTTCTGTTACACAACCGGAGCAGAAATAAAAACACTCGAGCAGCTGAAAGAGTAGAGCTGAATAAGAAGTGCTACAAAACAGGAACAGATTTAGGAATAATGAGGTCACCTCACACCTCAACACACATTAAGTTATTCTGTTCACTCAAATAGCTTCACGTTCAGTAGTAGTCAGAGAACAAAATACCACACCATTTTAAAGAGACAGAAGCATTTCAATACTTTGGCTGATTAGAAAGAATGAACAAAGAACAATACCATCATGCGCTACCCTTCCAGCTTTCTCCTGGTTTTACAGGTGGAGAGAGAATTAAGGAGGCAGAAAAATGTTCATTCCCGCCTCACCCCCTCCAAGTGAGAGACCCCTAATCTGAACATGTGGCTGCACCTCCAGAGCATGGAGCAACTGTGGTATTTATGGTGCTTCAGAAGCATCGTGTGCCTGATCGAGCACTCAGGTGCTACTGTGATGACAGCATGAAAGAGCTCCTTCTTGCCAGGTACTTTGGCTTTTCAGCCCTTCTTACTCCAGTCTCTTTTTTATTTAGCAAAGGAGAGGTGCAGTATTAGCTTCCCTCCAAACTGTTCAGTCACACAAAAGCAAAACTGAGTACTACGTGGCCGGGCAGTGCTGGTGTCAGGGGTTCCCTGGGAGTGCGGAAGAGGAGAGGACTGGTGGGAGGCTGGAAGGCAGGCAGGTGTTCAGGTGTCTGAAGATGAGTGAACAACTGATGAGTGGACAAGAAAGGAATGTGAAGGATCAACACACGATAAAACTAGTCTGAATCTTCATCGGATTGGTAATATCAGTGCAGTCAAGAGCTGACTTGGTTGTTGTTTGGGGTTTTTTTTCCAAAAAAAGACCCCAAAGACCATGCTTTTCTAAAACAGAGAGGAGTGCAGCAGCCAATATCTAATAAAAGAAAGTTCTAGATGTCAGAATCGCTCAAAAAGCATGACTGCCTACTGAGCTAAAGCATGATATTGCTATCCCTAAAAGGGAGTTGGTATCTAAGCAGATACAGATTGCAATCACTGACTCATCCACCCTGGGCCTTTAAGTCAAACTGAT